GCCCTAGGCTCCGCGCCCTCCCCGCGCCACTCGCACTTTCCTGCCCGCCTCCTTTTCTCCAGCCCCCTCTCCTCACTCTGGGCACCCCACTGCCGCTCACTCCCCTCGCCCCTCGCCCTATCCCCAGGTCCAGCAGTCCGCCCTTGTCTCGGGAGAGCTCACGCCTTTTCAATCCCTCCCCGCCGTCCTCACTTTTCTTACTCTCATCTCCCTCTCTCCCCTTAACCCTGTCTCTACTTTCCCCTTACTTTTCTCCAACTGGTCCTGTCGCTCTTTTCCCCACTCCTGTAGTCCCTCTGCTTTCTGGATCCGTGTTTCTTTATATCCCTGCCCTGGACTTGAAGCCTCTCTCCACCTACCCCTGAGCACACCACCTCCCTCCCGTCCTCTCCCCCTCCAATGACCTTAAAAGACATTCACCAACATCAGACTCAGTCTTGTCACTTGTCCAAGTTGATTTTGATCACTGTCTTCTGTTTTGTACCCCGGGCTGTGCGGCAGTATTTAAATCTCTGGAATCTTGATCTCTAGCAGTGGACCCTTCTCCTGCTGCCCGAATTGTGAAGCCTCTTAGACCCCCTGCCAGCTCCTTCTGTCTGGGCTCTTTCCCTCTCAGTCTTTCATTATGTAAGCTCAGACCCTCCTCTGAAAGAAGACACCCAGTGTCCCTGGAATGACAGAACGATAGTCAGAGATTTTCCTCCCACTTCATTTCAGCCTCCTCTGGGATGGACTTCTTTTTCGTTGACCACCTCCACCTCCCCCCTGGAGTGAGGAGCCTCTTGGAATTTCTAGAAAAGCATAGGATCAATAAGCCCTGGCAATGGCACCTGCTCTGTGAAGTGATTATTGCCTTTGAATAAAGAAAGCCCCCAGTAATAAATCAAAGTAATGATTTTTCTCCTGTGCAAGTTTCTCTCTATGGGCTGAGAGGGTCAACAACAAAGTCGTGCTACACACTAAAGTCAACATCTGAGCTCTTCTGTTCTTCCAGGGCACTCGGTAGTCACAGATGTTAATTCCAAGAATGGCAGGCAGATTTTCATTTTCTGAAAGGAAGAAAAACATTAGGATCCAGGGTATCTAAGAGTTAATGGTGTATGTATATAATCTGTACAACAGAGGTGCAATACCCTTGTGCCACTTAATGCCCTTGGGGCCATGTCAGAGACAGGAAACCATGCTGCAGGAGCCCAGGGATGGCAATTCTGCTCTGATGCTATGAAATATTAATGATCAAGAGATTATGAGGCATTCATTAGATGCTAAATGTCATTACTCCATGATTTAATGGGACTTATTAATTAGTGCCCCACATCAATTGGTATTAATGTGATTTATATATTTCCTCTGGAATGACATCTTTAAAGGTGGTATTGAGAATCATGCTGGGATTTATTTTCATTGCTGTTTGTGCTCAGCATCTTCAGACAGTATTTTTCCAAGGAAAAGCATGTGCCTCTTCTGAGCTGTTCAGTCACATATAGATCCCTTAAGCAAATCTTTTAGTCATATCAGGACCCCTGTTCCCATTTCTGCTGACCTGACAATGTGAATTATTGCTTGGATTTTCTCACAGCTTCAGCAAGAACTATGGTGAGCTCTAGTCTAATTAAGGAAGACAAAGAATTATAATTTTAGTGTTCCTCTCACCTATAAGCTTTCCCTTAACAGGAAACACTAAGCTCATCAAAGCAGTCTTATCTGGATTTGCACAAAAATGATGAGACTTAGGAGCTTTCTTTTATTTATATTCCATAATATGAGTAAAATCCTAGATCTTTATGGATACACAGACACTATGTGTAAACCTTGAACTATGAAATCACAACTGACATCTAAAATTAGCTCAAGTTTTCATGTGTCCTTTTATTTTTTAAAAAAAAATGCTTCTTGAAATAAAGTTATTACAAACCTGGAGAGTCCTAAGGGATGTCAAACCTTTAGCATGTCCTCATCCCCTTCTCAATCCTTACCTGGTGTTCTACAAGAAATATTCAGCCACATCTCAAGAGTCACTGGATCATCTTCACACAATAACTCTGTTCCCCAACTGGAGCTAGACAGAAGGAAACCTCTCTCTCAGGCACTGCCATTTAACTCAAAAGGACATACTGTTCTGCTTCATTTTCCTAGCCAGAACTCCTTGATTGTACCCTTCCTAGAAAATAGCATTATACTTGAAGTTCATTTACGTCTCTGTTTAAGACCAGTCTCAGCATATAATCCAAAGGTTACTATATGATGGATTGCCCTAGACAGTTTTTCATAAAAAATGTCACACATTACAAATATGGGCCAGCAGTATGTAATGAGAGCACTGCCTCTGCTGGTGCAGCATTAACGGTGTCGGCCGGGATGTGACATATGATGTGTACACAGGCTCCGCTACAGCAACTGCACATTGCTTCATCCACATTTTAAAAATTTCTCTTTTGGATATTTCCAACAAAGAACTATCACCCGCTAACCTCCGCTCTGTGAGGAGAGTGAGACATACAAAGATGAATAAATGGCTCCCATCTTCAAGTTACTCCTAATCGGTGGCAAGAAAGAGACACATAGAATAAGAGGCAAGTGCTGTAGCAGAAATAGGAACAAAATGTTGAGGGGACATGGACAATGGAAAGACTAATTAATTGCCTGGGGGATTCAGGCAGGCTGCATAGAGTCTCTTGAGTTAGTTCTCAAAGGATGAGTTAAACTTTGCCAAGAGGCTAATACCAGAGATATTAACATTGCAGTCAGAATACACCCCTTTGATTTTATGTCTACCTCATATGCATTTGAAGGCTTCAACATTTGGGGACATTGGAAAATATTTTTTCTACATGTTTAAGTCATATAGTTGAAAGATTCTAGTGACTTACTGCAGGCTAGATATTAACAGATGAGTAAAGCAGTAGTCTAAGCCAGAATACAGTCAGTTATTTAGCCTGCCATAGAGTCAAAAAGATGAGAGATCAAATATCCAGCCGGTACACTGTGGCATGTCTCAGGTTTGACTGTGCAATGACCCCGACATTTTCCAACTTTGCTTGTTCTTCACTTGTCGTAAATTTCTTTTTGCCATCTCCAGATCAAATACCCAAGAACATGCCTCTGAAAACAAACTTGTCCTAAAATAACAGGAAAAGAGCCAGGGAATTTCCACTTGGGTGTCTCACTCTATTGAACTCAATGTGTCCAAAACTAAACTCTCACAATGTCCCCCGGTCTAGCTACCCACTCTCCACTTCTCTTTCTATGCTGTTGATGAGTCACTGAAGTCTGTCAAACTCAGTATTTGGGAATTATATAGTTTTTGAGAGATTTTTTCCTTTGACATGTCTTATATATCCACTCTTTACATTTCTATGAATCACAATCACCATGCCCCTCACATCTGGATTAATGCTCCAGCTTCCTCCATGACCCCCATGATTCCGGGACCAACCCCCCCTGTAGTCATCACGGACACTGTTTCCAGAAGCATCTTCCTCAGATGTTACTTTTATCATGTCATCTTTCAGCCTCCAACTCTCTAGGATAGAGACAATGATTCACTATATTACTCCAGAGCCCTTCTTTGTTACTGTCAGTATTCCCATAGCATTTAAACATTACAAATGATGTGCTGGTCATGTTTAAATACTTAGAAAACAAAATACTTTTGCCATCTTCAAACACATTTACTATAATGCCTAAGTGCTTTACGACATCTGTCATATTTCTCATATTTCTCTATAGTCAAATATTCTTTAAATAAATATTTCCTTATAAAAAGGCATACACACACACACACACACACACATATACTCACACTCATTCACATACACATATGAGATCTCCAGGTATCACAGAGCTATGGAAATGATTTATTGACATAACTATGCTAAGCTAACCATGAATATTCTAAGAGACTTTTACCCTTTATCCCAATGTCAAGGTTCAAAGAAATATTCTTTCAAATTTCAAATATTTGGATCCCACTATGGAGCCTATGTAGTTTAGCCAAAACCATACACTGGTTTTCATAAAGAGTAAGGGGTTTTCCCCTTAATAATATCACATATATATATTTTTTAGCATTTAAAGTAAAAGTATAGTCAATTATACTGCTTATCTACAATATGACATTTCTGCAAATACTTGAGCTATCTTATATTAAAGTCAGCACTCTGAATTGTTTTAGTGTTTTTCTAAAGCAATTTTATTTTAATTCAACAACATATATTGAGCACCTCCAATGTAAGATATCATGCTAGGCCCCAGCTGTATTATACAAAGATGAATGAAACATGGTCTATATCTTTAGGGAGCTTAGGTTAGTACAAGGGGAAAACAGAAATGCAAAAGGCCATGCAGGGGGACAGTCTGGGATACGTGCTATCCCAGAGGAACAAACAAATGTAACGAGGAAATCTAGTACAGTGAGATTGGTTTCCATTGGAAAGAACATGGGCAAGCCAAGTGGAATAGAAGCTATCTCAGGCAGGCCCTTGAGGAAAAGGAGTGTTTTCTGTATGTGTCAGCTCAGTCCAAGACAAAGCCAAAAGTGAATTTTCGAGGTAGCTCCTACACCATGGTGCTCTTCTCTACCCCACGCATGAGGTAGTCATCCTGGCAGTGCCATTTTGTCACTTACTAGATGCCTGGAACCATAAAATACCACAAAACCCCTGAAATAGATGGTGCCTGATAAGTTTCTCATTTCCTTGACACACCGCAGAATGTCACCATTCTTTTTCACATTCCTGGATTAAGCTGTTTCCTTTTTGGATCCTTTAAGCACATATGGTAGGGGAAAAAAAAAGTGTTCAAAGAAACCCATAACCATGTTAAGTCCCACTCAAAGTGTGATGTGTGAGCAGATGGTAGCTCATTAATTGCCATACCTAACTGTATTCACCACCTCATCTATGTGTGCAGATAACTGGGATATAGAAAATAGGTAAGAAAACATAGGTGCCCCGAGCCAAGACAGGGGAGCCTACCAATGGGCTCCTTCAGACCATGTTTGACAACCAAAGAAAAACTGTATAGAACTGAAATACCCAGTGTCTGTGGTTCTCAACCCCTGTGATACAGTTCCAGGTGAATAGAAAAGCCAGCCTTTCCAGGTGTCTCCCCTCTTTCTTACCAGGATCTGGGGAATGCACACATGGGCACTGGAGCCACTCAGAAAATTCTAGGCCCACTGCTTTCTACCTAAGCCTCTGAGCTAGTTACCCAGAAACCTAAGTTTGGAACGACAGAGATCAACATCAACCTCCTAGGATGCATGATTCACCATTATCACCTGCTAGATACATCCTTCCCACACCGTCCCCGTCCTACTCCATCTACATAAACACATAAACATGCTTCAGAAGATCCTTAAGTCCATTATATCAA